TGCCTTGGAGCAGGTTGCTTGGGGGTCACCACTGTGTGGGTCTGCTCATGTGCTCTTGGTTGTAGAGCTGACTGAGTGGGAGCCACACTTGGTCTATTTGGTTGTGCAACTGGAATGTTGTTGGCGCCAGTTCTGGAAGCTGGTTGCTTGCTGGCTGGAGGTTTTGCCATCATGATCTCCCCAGAGGTTGGATGACTACTAGGGCTGGCAAGCTCGATAATCTCCCCATCATCCAACGATGGATGGGCACCAGCGAGGGCATTCAAGGGTGTGGCACTGGGCAGCTGGTGGCTCGTAGCTGGGACACGCAGGGGTCGTGTGACAGGCAACTCCCCACAAGCTAGCTTGGGAGATGGAGCCGTGGCCACATTGGTGGGCAGCTGGTTGGTGGCCAAGAGGGTATCAGTCAATCGTTGCTGGATGGCAGTGGCCTCTTGCTTGGAACGAGTAGCCCTGTGGCGCCGCTGCTTCTTTGGGCTGTGGAGCTGTTGGGTACCGATAGCGCTGGTCTCCCCATGAACTGATCGTGTCAAGGCAGGTGCAGGTGCTGTGACAGGTGGCCTAGCAGCTACCTCGACCAAGGCCTCCAGTTGAGCTGCCAGTTGGTCCTTCAAGGCGATGAACTGAGCTTCCATCTTTCGTTTGAAGGTTTCGTGGTCAGCTCTTATGTCTTGCTTGGATGATTCGTGATCAGCTCTCATGAGGTCGAGTTGTCGAGCAACGGTGCCTGTTGCTGTTGAAAGCGGATCAGCATGTCTTCCATGGCTGGGTTATAGATGAGTCTGAGTGACAACTGGGGCTCAGCTCTGAAATCTCCCCATCACCCAGCTGGTGGTTGGTCTACCATAGGCATTGGTGCCGGCCTCTTCTTCAAGGATGTCGAAGGGTGGTTTGTATGGTCTGGTGGGAACTTGTTGACACAGGTGGTGCTGGTGTCTTCTCTAGAATGTAAAAGACGGATTTGTATTCACTGGTGGTGAGCACTGGTGCTGTGTTGTCCCGATGCGGTGCTGGTAGCTAGTACCGTTGCTGTTTTGGCCAGCTCCATCGTGGTGTGTGGGGCGGGCACAGGCGGTGTAGCTACTTTGGACTTGGGGCCCAGGGTAGGCGCGGTGCCACCAACGTTCGGAGTAGCCAGGTGCATAAGGGTCGCTCACATCGCTGTAGAAACCATAGAAAGACATGGTGCCACTTGTTGCTGACAAAGAAGAGGTGTGTGGCCTGTACCTGGGAAATACTGGAATTGGGCTCTTGTAGCAGGGCAATAAGCCTTGGCTCAACTGTAATCTGGAAACCACAAAGATGACTTCTTGGGACCTTGCTAGGGGCCTGGGAAATTCAATCTAAGTGTAATTGAATAAGGTAGCCTGTGTAGAAGCTTTGGAACCTGTTTCCTGAATTGCTCTGGTGCTGGGAATTGCCTTGGTTTGTGGGTATTTTGCCACTGAGGATCCAGGCAACTTTGGGCCAATGAATCTCCCCGCACAAGTTGCTTGTACTGAAGGTGAGATACCCACTGACTAAACAAGGGATGGCGGATTCAATGGTACCTTGTTCAGCCACTCGAATCGACCTCTTGGTTGTCTCGTAGTGCTTCGAGTTACTCCTTTCGGTGGGTTGGTCGCTCCGTACCAAAGAGGAAATCGCGATTTCAATGACTCGACTCGACCAAGATACACCGTAAACTCCTTAAAATGTGAGCGCGAATCCAGTTTACGTGATGTGTGCCTGCTTTCGGTACGGGGAACGTTGTCGTATAAGTGCAGAACCGGTACGGAAGCTCGTGCAATAAGTCTTCGAAGATCCCGGATCGAAGAGGAACTCTTAGACGGCTCAGTGCACGTTGGATAAGTACCAAAAATTCAGGTGACTCTCGAATCCTGCACGGACGATCTGATTGGTTGATCGTCTTCTGTGGGATTGTTCCACGACGTTCCGTGTATTGCAGAAACCGTACAGGACAGAAACTCGTGACACTCGAAACTGCACGGTCGAAGTGAAGGAGATATGCCTCCAGAACAACGATAAGTCACGTAATCGCTGGTTGACTGGAAAGGAATAAGCCCGTTCCTCAGCGCGTAAAAGCGTTGCTCGGTGGCCAAGATAGGTGCAAGAACAATAAGTCTCGCGTGCACTCGGAGACTCCAGCTTCTTCTTTCGAGTGAATTGGGTGCTTTTCGTCTTTTCGTGTCAACGGAAGGATGGTAGCTTTGGCAATGAGGTAGCTTCAGCAATGAGGTTGGCGCTGGAAGTTTAGGTCTTCTTTCAATGGCAATGGGCTTTGTGTTGGTCTTGTAGATGGTAGAGGACCAATGCAAAGGTGGCTGACACTGTGGTGAAGACTGGGACTCTCAGAATTGACCACAAGGTTGTTGACTTAGGACTTCAAAATGGGCCTTGAAACCACCTCAAAATTCAATGAATTCAACTGTAGCTGTAGCACTGATTGTTGTATTTCGAAGAGATCCTTTTCTCGTCAAGGAGGTCTCTTCTTCCCTTAAGAACTGCCTGCAAATCTATGCTGACTGTTAATCCAACAAGTTTCTTGAAGGATCAGTTCCAATACTCAAGTAGTGGACTAGACCTCGCTGAAACCCTTCCTCAGGGACAGCGGTAGTCAGGCAGTTCAGGGAGCCTTGTCGTGCCTCAGGAGTATTCCAGCACCTCCAGTAGGCACCAAACCAAGGACTTGGTCCTGTCAGTCAGACAGGAGGGCCAGCAGAGCTCTCTGCTGGACCCTTTGGGCCAGCTCACCTCAGGAGCTGGTGGCCTTCGTTATTCAATCGTGCAGTGGCAGTCTGGGAACAGTACTATCTGCTACCTCCTACTGCTTCTGCCCGGCCTCAACAGGATTGGTATCAACTGCTGCGGTATCAATGGGGCTACAAGCTAATCAGGATCGGTCTCAATCTTTCGTACTATTTTCTTAACTATGGTGGAAAGGACGATCCTTTCTTGCTGCTTTGGATGGAGATAAGCCAGCTGTGGGTGCTGGAGCTGTAGGCCAGCATAGCTGTTAGAGCTATCTCTGACGGGATCCAGAGCTCTCGCTCCTAAAAGTTATCGTTTAGCGTCAGGACGAAGTTCTACTTCTTAGTCGTCCATTTGTCGCTTTCCTAAAGTACCTTCGAATTGGTCGGAGCACTTGGTCAATAAGGCATGAAGCGGTTCCTGCTCTTCCTTATTTACCTGGTTTTGACTCTGGCATATCTGCCTTAAGTCAGGTCGTTCGTATTTCGCGTCAAGAGTCCTCTTGAGACGATCTGCACTGTCGCTGACAGCTGTAGGATCAGGGATGAAGAAGTTCCTTTCTTCGTTGGTATTGCTATCTTTCATAGGGAAAGATGTGCTATTCCACTTCACTGACATGGTAGTGAAATCGAACTTGATTCTTAGATCGGAGAGAATGTCTCGACCTATGATCATGTCATACGCCCCCAAGTTCTTGGTGGCGTGCAAGTTCCATTCGATAATTCTATCATCGTGGAACTCAGGAGTCATAAGTGCACCCTTACACTTCGTGCTGGGGTTTAATTCCTTTACAGGGGTAGTCCATAGTGTTTGGACGCCCCCATGATCCTTCATGCTTAATCTCTTAGCATGAATTTGGGTAATCAAGGTTCCGGATGCTCCTGTATCCAGTAAGCAACGGAGTGTAACGGGTTTTTGTTTCCCTTTTTCTCGTCTGTTAAATCTAACATAGACGATAGTTTTGAGGTCTCTTGTCTTGCGACGTTGATGAGGTGGTTGGCCACGGACGAGGTTAACAATGCTGGATAGATCGTCAGAATCTAGTTGAGCAGCTTCTAGGCAATTATCTAATTTGCCGTAGACTTCCTCAGTCGCAAACAATTCTTGTTTACTAGTTAGTGAGATATCTTCATCACTTAGGTATGAGAAATCGGAACATGGTTCCGTTGAATCATCATCCTGGACTAATCCTCAGACGGAGATCTCTCCATCTGAATGATTGAAGTCGAAGTCGGCAAGAGCCTTGTCGACTGCAGCCATTTTCTTGTCCATCATGTTGAGGGACCCGACAGAGGAGTCATCCTCGTTGTCAGAGTCGTCTGACTTGCGTTTGGCAACATGGTGGCAAAGTCTTGAGGTCAACTCAAGACGGGTTTCAAGGTAGTTTGGGTGCAAATAGCAGGTGCTATCAGGTGCAATAGGTACAATCCTTTGTCCTGGTCAACAGGTACACTTATTTGTTATGCTAAACTAAGAATTGTGAGCACACATGGCTCCTAAAGTCAAATACAGTGGCACATTTCGAAGGGCCGCGAAATGGGACTTCCTACAGACCGTAAACGAGACTTCCAGCCACTTCTGTGCATATAAACCTTCATCCAGGACCTCACCTGACCACCAAACATTGATACATAGGGACATTCATAGTCCAGGACTTCATAATGTCATCAAACATATAGTAATCATGCTTGTCCCAAGACCTCATAGTATCTTCCATCATCTAGGAGTCTTGCCCAAAGATACTTATGAGTCATGCCTAAAGACTTAGAGCACAGGCCAACCATACAATATCCCAGAGTGAAACACTTCCAGGCACACTTGTTCCAGGGACAGACAAGCTGAGAAACCAGCACTACTGTGTAAACACACCAAAGACAGACACAGTGGGAGGCCAGCAGTAATGTTTTCACATCATGTGGCTCCAATCCAACTCCTGTCACTCCCCTTGGGTTGGTGGCACAAACACAGAGACAAACATACAGGGGTAAGGTGGGCTCTTCAATCATCAAATCGCCCGTAAAGTACCTGCTTGCAGAGCCGGTACATCTTGTGGGGTCCAAGAGGCTTGGTCCCCATATCCGCGAGGTTCCATCCTGATGCGATCTTGCCAACCCTGGCAACACCTATGGCAACAGGTTCCCTGCACTTGTGGTAGGGGCAGGCATGGTGCTTCTTCTTGAGGGAGGAGGACGGCAACTGAAGGTTGTTGACAACTGACATGTTGTCAACCGAGATGGAGGTTGGGTTCTTCACTTCAACTCCAACATTCTGGCCTTGTTCCTCATGGCAAGGGCAGCTTCAACTCCAATCCTTGCTGTGACCAACTCAGCCCGATAGGTGGAGCACTCAATGGTGGCCATCCTCTTGGAGTAGGACTTTGTGGGCATTTGTCCAAAGGAAGCAATGTAGGAGGCCATACTGGACATGTCAATCTTTTTTGATGCATGGCTAGCATCCACCATGATGACTTGGGTGATTTCAGGGACAAGGGGCTCAGGGGCATATGGGTCAATGGGCTCCATTGAGTCAGGGTTATCCGATCAATGTCTTCAGAGAACTGGAAATCCCCTAGGACGGCTGGGGAAGGTTGGCAGCAAGCCTAAGTTGGGCCTGAACTTGAGGTACCATACATCCTCAGCAAAGGGCCTCATGACCCTCCCTGGGCTCCCTACCATACCTAGCCATGGTATTGACAGTGTACGGGATGTCAATTCTCCCCAGTGTAACTGCCCACTGACCACACCAACTACATCTGGTACTGGGTAAATCTGGTGCTGTCTAAGTAGGTTGACTCATCCAACTCGGGTTGATCTTCTGGTTCCATGGAGGATCCATAGTTTTTCAATGTGATCTTGTAGATTGCTTCAAGCTTGGGGATCAATTCTCAATGTAGGTCTTTGCAGAGAACTCCCAGAGAACCTGTCTCAGGGTTGAAGGTCCACGTCTCCTCCACTGTAGTACTCCGGGGTGCCTACTCCTTTCAACTCTAAAAGTGGTAGATGTCCTTGAGGGGTTACAATCACTGGTGAGGGGCTTGGAGAACACCAGAACATCATCAACATGACCCAACATACTCATAGTGGTCATTTTGTTCCTCATCCAAATGTTGCTATCAGCTCTGGAAGGTTTGAAGCGCCATCTGGATAAGGGTGTCTGCAAGCTCTCGCCACCACATGGCACCAGAGACCTTGAGCCCGTACAATGCCCTAATGACATGCACAGGACCCCAGCTAGGTTCCCCATTCATCTCAAAGGGTCACACAGATCTTTCAACTGTGAGGGACATCAGGTAGGCATACCTAACATCCCCTGCAATCACCTCTAGCTTAATCAATGCAGCAATGACAAACACCATCCTGATGTTCCCGAGATCAACAACCCCAGAGTAGAGTTCATATGGGTGGTCCTCAGTTATATGGCCACCTGCAACACACTTGGCTCGGTGCCTCCCATCTAACTTCACAGAGAAGCGCAAGAGCAACTTGATCTCCTGTTACTCATCGGTCACCTCCCCTGGTTTGGCTTTCTTGAAACCGGGGAACCTA